CGTGGGACAAAAAGATCGCATATCAGGAGATATATGAAGGATGAGAAACTTGGTAAAGTAATTGTAATGGATACTTGATACGGATCTCTCACCATTTTTTGTTACAACCACCAGGACAAACACGCAGGACCCTTACATTCATATATATATATACCGCCCGCCGATATATAACCCGAGAAAGTGTATCTCGGTATTACACATTATCGCAATTACAAACACACTCGAACGCAGCTGAGTATCCATAGATTTTCGGATGAATTGTTCACCGTTAAAGATAGACGTCCATCCAGTTGTCATTCACGGTATATGGTGGTAAAAAAGTTTTCAGTTTTTTGATACCCGCACTTAGACTTGGACTTGGACTTGGACTTCTTACCCTAGACTTTGGATTGATTGAAGAACTTTTTTGGCCGGCTCGACAATTAATTTGATCTTGTTGCATATTGTTTTGACTGTAGGAACATCTCATTGTTTGCTTTTCGATGTCGGGGTGGAAGCGGGCCTATTGAAAACAATCTGGGTGCTGTTGGTTTTCATTATTATCTTTCTTGACTTGCATTGGCTACACATTATTGTTATTATCAATATTAGTTATGCAATTTTATATAACTATGCATATATATATTAGTTAATTAATATTCAATTTGTATTGTCATATCAGCAGCTGAGTATCAATTCTTACACTACAAAATAGGAAATGCTGCCATGTTATGTCCACACGCAAACCAGTTAACTAACGCCTTGTTAGAGTCTCTCCAACTTCTTCGTGTCAAGATTCCGACTTGAAACCGCCGTGTGACGTCATAGAAAAACATAAGAATAAGCTCTTGGCCCAAGTTCATCTTGAATATTTTGTTTCTCACAACATCCCTCAAGCAATCAGATAATGTCAGATATGCATTGAACTCTAGATCCTCAATCAAAACCCTTCTCCCCTTCCCGGGCGAGGGGTATGCCATAATTTATATTTGTTCTATTTATATCTTTGATATTGAGTTTTTGTGTCTTGTTTTGGTTTTCTTAACATCGTCTTGTTCAAGCAGGGAATTCGAGTGGGTTGTGCCACGTGAATATCATTTAGATAGCGCCCAGTAAGCCAGTTGTTAGATTATCATCTGGAATTATCTGATTTCTTTCGACTGTTGAGAAATGCTTTCAAAATGGAGAAAATTATTGTGATCTGTATTCGGTACACACCCACTACACCCGAGAATACTTACTACTTGGACTGGAAGCATTGTTTATTGACAACCGATTAAAGGCAATAAGTTGAAAAAAACACGTCATTTCACCTGGGGGAGAAAGTTATCCCTAAATAAAAACTGTTGTAAAATCTTTCAAAAATAATTCATTCTAGACTCTTGTATGACGGGCGACTGGTTAATCAACAAAAGCGATAACCCCATAATTTTTAATTTTATTTTATAATGACGTGAAATGTGGTCAAACTGATCTACTCCGCATCCACTTACCTTACTCCTACGACATCCATCATATCGTTCAAGGTTTGACGGGCTTTCTGTGAAGCGATAAATAACTCTGTTCCTTTAATCCTCACCTCTGACTGGCTCGCACGAGCTTTTGGTAGGTTGATATAAGGTTGCTGGCGTTGATGTGGATGCCTGGGAAAGAGGCCCTTGACTGGGATGTGACGTCGTCCGCCTGCCAAGTGCTCATCTTGTTTGTGTTCATTGACATATTTTCAGGCTTTGAGGTTTGCGATTTATGACGATGTCGGGTTATCTGACGAGGCGGGCGGGCATATATATACACATCCGAAGGCGATATTACCCTGAGAGATTTTCTCTTGTTGATAATTTTTGTTTATCACGTTTTCAATTGAAAATATAACCAAATTTATTTGATCCGAGTTCTTTAAAGGTTTAAACATTTTCCCTGTATACTATTAGCATTCTATTCCGATAACTGGGCCCAATCGTCAGCATATACATTTTTGATCGGCACCAAACCTCCTAAAGGCGTGCAAGAACGGAGCGGACGTTTTCCTCGATCCAACGTTTCTTCTTCCCTTTGAACAGTCACGAATCACCCGTTGGCCAATCGCAGTCCTCCTTCAATCACTATTTCTCAATATTAAAAATGGCATCATCCTCAACACAAACCTCGGCCCCAACCATGCCGAAGAAGGATTCCAACACAGGTGGTCGGGGAAAACAACAGGTGAAGGGAAAGGTTGAGAAACCGGCTAAAGATGTTTCTAATGACATCACGAATGACGACCGCGAAGTAGAAGATGATGTTGATCAACCAACTGAAGGTGTTACGGAGCATTCAACTAGCGATGACCGCGATGCCGAAGAAGAGGTTGACCAAGCAACTAATGACGTCCCTGATGAACCAGAAGACGAGGGCTGCGATGTCAAACGCGATGTTCAACCACCAACTGAAGACATCACTGAACCGCCCGAAAACGTTGCTGATGATGCTGAAGAAGCAATAGACAAGCCCGAAGCGTCGGACGTGTCTGGCCTAATGAAACTGGCCGGTCTTGTCCCAAACAAGGTAGGAAATGTAATGGGTCCTGATGACATACCTATTGCGCGATTGGTTGAAGGGAATCCCAAAGAGCTGGCTGGTAAAAATATTGACGAGAAGGGACGTATCTGGAATGATTCAGGGAAACCCATCGGTCGAGTTGAGATGATACCCGAGGACGAACGGGAAACGAAGGCAGAGGGTCCATTTGCCGGACTTGAAAGATTGTGGGTCGTCGATGGGGATATGGTCGAAGATAAAAATGGCAATGTCGTTGGCAGGGTTGCTGATGGCGACGCAAAAAATCTATTGGGCCAAGAGGTGGACGAAGATGGGGATATAACAGATAAATATGGGAATGTAAAGGGACATGTGGAGCCTTATGAACCACCCGAGGAAGAGCAGGTTGAGGAAGATTTGTCTGCATTGGCGGGTAAAACAGTCAACAAGGCGGGTAACGTTGTAGACCAGTCTGGAGTCGTTATCGGCCGTGCTGTTTCCGGTGATCCCAAAAGGCTTGCTGGGAAGAAGGTCGATGAGAAAGGCCAGATCTGGGGAGATTCGGGAAAGGTCATCAGCAAAGCTGAATTGATCCCTGAGGGAGAACGGGAGAAGCCTGAAGGGCCATTCTCAGTATTCAGCAGCCTCACAGTTGCCAAGGATGGTGTTATTCATGATGGCTCGGGAGAGATAGTTGGGCGCGTCATTGAAGGGGATGCGAACAAACTTAGGGGTCGAAATGTCGACGAGGATGGCGATATCATCGATAGGGCTGGAAATTTCCTTGGAAAAGCTGAGCGCTGGGAGCCAGAGGAAAAGAAATTGGATATTAACCCGATGTCTGGTCGCAAGATTAATAAAGAGGGTGAAGTGCGTGATGCAGATGGCAATGTGATTGGGAAATTGACAGAAGGGAATTTAAAAAACCTCACTGGGAAGTCTATCGACGATAATGGATATGTTGTCGACAATGCGGGGAACAAAATTGGAGAGTGTACTTTATTGGAAAACATTCCTGACGAAGTTCCCGAACCCGAGCCCGAAATTACCCAAGAGCAGCTCGACGCTGAGAAGCAAGAGAAAGAAGACAAAGAGCTGGCTAAGAAAATGTGTGCCATCGTACAACAGACCCTCGACAAGGTCGGGAGCGTTTGTAAGATGATCAAAGAGGTTAGTTAGCAACCAATTTCAAAACCCATTCGGCAGAAACAGTTTTCTAACAAAAGTTAAACAGCACACTGAAACGGCAGACAGACCACCCAAGGAGGAACTTGACGAGGAAGATCTCGTGCAAAAAGTCAAGCCTTTGATCGAGGAAGGAAGCGGTTATTTGCAAGAATGCAACGGAGCGCTTCGTGCACTCGATCCAGACGGACAGATGGCTGCCAAAGTGAAATCGAAGGCTGCGCGGTGTGAAGCATCTCCGGAAGAGCATCAACTGGCGGAACTCCTCAAGGAACTCACGTCGACTGTTGTCACAACTATTGACAATGCGAAGAGGAGAATTGCCGGTATGCCCCATGCTAAAAAGAAGCTCAACCCACTCTGGGGCCTGCTGAGTGAACCTCTCTTCCAAATCGTTGCAGCAGTTGGTCTCCTTCTTAGTGGCGTCCTTGGTTTGGTGGGCAAGCTACTTAATGGACTTGGGCTAGGCGGCTTGGTGAACGGACTTCTTGGAGGGTTGGGAATCGACAAGCTCCTTTCAGGGCTGGGTCTCGGGGGTCTCACGGACGCTTTGAATCTTGGTGGTGATAAGAAGAAATAATGACTTTCTTTGTGTAGTGATAATGGACGCTTTGCTGTTTCCCATATTCCCTTTGCATTCTGCTTTCCGTTCTGACTTCTATTTCGCCTCTTCCCCCCCCCCCCCCCCCCCCCCCTTTTTTTTTTTTTTTTTTTTTTTTTTTTTTTGTGCCGTGTCATAAATTGTATAATATGCCTTTTGCCTTTCAAAAGTAACCGCTTTTATCAGTTGTGTTGAGTTGTGTTATTGAGATCATATCAACCTTCCATTATGCAATAGGGATAAATTGAAATATAATCAGTATGGAATAACCTGTCAATCAACTGCCATTCAGACGCGTTTGGCTAGACGTGTCTTTTTGGTCTAAATGAAATGGAGGAGAGTTGAGACTGTTTTTTGCATTTCCATCAATAGAAATTAGGTAGTCAGAGAACAAGAGTTCGCGATAACCTCTCAAGGAAACCTTAATAGAGAGTTCCAACCATCCCCATCTGCTTGGCTCTGCTCGACATAGAGTTGGCTGCCGGGCCTCGGTTTAGAAACGGTATCAAGTTGAAGTTTCCTCTGGATTGTTTACCACGATATCAAGAAAGTCAAAGCCGTGGACAATGCCAAAATCGACTGGAGGGATCAGAATTCCTTTCCGTCCGTAAGCCAATTATTCTGTCATCTTGAACTTCGTCATAACGGCTTATCGATGTCCAATCCGAAGGACGGGATGTTTCGTCAGCTCACTAGCCGTCCTCCTCTCCTCCGGAATTCATTGGAGCATATCCCTAACAAAGGAAAGGAACAACTCCCTCTCCCTCTCATCTAAAGATGGGACAGAATCCTCTAGCTTCCTGACCGGAATCAGATCATTGTGCAAAAATTTACCTGCCAAACCCAGTAAATCAGCAAATTAAAGTGCAACTAACTTCATTCTAGAGACACATATAGTCACACATACCTTGATTGAAAGAAGGTCCATGAAAAAATTCTCTTGGATTGCTGCAGATCTTGCCTGACGCATTCATTGTGGGATCCGGCCATTTGTACTCTGCCATAGCATCCGATTTTGCAAGCAACTGATTCGGTGGCAGACCAAGTAGCGCGATCATTTCCGCCAGATGCCCTCTGGTATCATCCTGGCCCTGGTTATTGTGTACACGGTGAAATAGCTCAGTGCATTCAATGATATTCCATACCTAAAGTTGGTGGAGCCTGTTACTCTTGCGTGCGCACAAAATTCCCCCTCATACAAGGATTCATCTATGTTGTTTATATGAGCTGCTTCTAACCATTACACCGAAATTCCATATATCGGTGCTGAAATCCAAGCCACAACCAAGGATGAACCTCTGGCTCTCGGTAGTTGATCCGGCTGCATGGGAAATATGCCAAATTTTCCTTTTCCCGCTCCCTCACCCTCTCCCTTGGAATCGCCATTAAGCTGTATCGCGGCCCCAAAATAGCAGATTTTGGGTACCATATTTCTGAGCTTTCTCCAGTTTAGGACACCAAAGTCATTGTGACAGCGGGAAACAGTTCGGTTGTAGTCTGGGGGGGTTTGCCCCTGAATCACGTGAAGCTATATCTATCCACTCTAGGGCGTCTGTTCCGGGGATTTCTGAAGTTGAGTGTGGGGTTAAAGTATCGAGAAGATAAAAAGCTCTTGCAAGCCCGATAAAATGAAGATGAGTAACAATTGATTTGGCGCAAATGTGTAACTTCTATGTACTAGATAGGGGGGGGGGGGGGGGGGGGGGAAACACAAGAAGAGGTGGAAAAACCGGCTTTTTCCGAATGGAAAGGTCCAAACTAGGTCTGGGGGGTTTGGGGGGCTTTAAAAGGAGGAAGATTTTTCTCCACATTTTAAGGGAAGGGCAGGTTTTTCCCCAAAAGGATATTAAAACCCCCCTAAGGTCCAAAAAAGGTTGGGGTTTTTCCTGGCTCCCTTCCCCGGGGTTGGTTGGGTGAAACCCCCGGCTGAAAACTGGGAAAACTGTAGGGGGGACCAAATGGGGGGGGGAAAAAAA